GGGACAGCCTCCGCCCCCGCCCCGCCTCCTCGCCGACGCCCCTCCCCCTGAGCCTTCAAAGACTCGCTGCGAGCCAAACGCACCGAGATAGCCGGACTGAGGAGGAGAATAAACAAATGCAATTAACATCAAATAATTAAAGCCGAAACGTCTAAAATATGTCAACTTTCACAAATAGATACATGTAAAATATCCTAATAAGAAGTCTGTTGTTATTATTGACATGCAACTGCAAATATAACATTTGCATGTTGTGTTTATGATCAAAATGTGAAGGTTTAAGATCAAATAAGATTATGATATTATGATTATTAGAGTATAAAACTCAAACCTGTCCATGCTGTCCTCTCCAAAGCTGCTGGAAGACAAGCTCTGTCCCTCGATATCACCGTCTTCAACAGAGTCTGAATTATTCTCAAACTGCTGGATGATGTTTCTCACGCTGCCCGGACGAACTACGCACGGAAACAAAGACGAGTCGTCAATATTTCTGCGCCATCTTTCCATAAGAGGTACACAATACACTTTAATTGTGTAATGTTGAAAAAAAGAGGAACAACAAGCAAAATGACAGCTAGTCTTGTTTTCTGAGAAACTGATCAAAATGAAAAGAGCTTATATTTAAAACAAGGACAATTATCTGCCAATCTGCTCAAAATCAGGTTAATTCAAAGGGAGTTTTCATATCTTCTTGACAGATATTTGTTCTCATTTTAAGCATAAACTCACTTAATTTTGTTCATTTTCTCAGAAAACAAGCCTTCATATCTTCAGTTTGTGTCTCAAGCAAATGTGTCTCGATTTAAGGCTGTTTAGATATTTGTATTGAGATTTGTATTATTATTATTATTATACTAAAAGACAGGAAAGTGTTTTCAACAGGTTTGTCAAAGTAACTAAAATGAATAAATGAAAATATGGAAAAGACAAGGATGTGTACCTTCAGTGGGGGACAAAGGAACGTGGAACGCTGGAGAAATAAACAAACATGAACAAACAAACCAACGATGAGAAAACCAATAGAAAATAATACAAACTACAGCATTTCAAACTCAAGTTTTAAAGAAAACAGTTCAAAATAAACCCTGAACGACTGACAGACTCAAACACGAGCTGAAACAACTGAAATAACAGAGTGTGTGTGTGTGTGAGTGAGTGAGTGAGTGAGTGAGTGAGTGAGTGAGTGAGTGAGTGAGTGAGTGAGTGAGTGAGTGAGTGAGTGAGTGAGTGAGTGAGTGAGTGAGTGAGTGAGTGAGTGAGTGAGTGAGTGAGTGAGTGAGTGAGTGAGTGAGTGAGTGAGTGAGTGGTGTGTGTGTGTGTGTGTGTGTGTGTGAGTGTGAGTGTGAGTTTACTGGACTGGGACGTGCTTCTGGGTTTGCCGATGTACTTCAGGATGGGATTTCGTTTCTTGTCGTCTCCATCCTTCTCTCGTTTGGCGCTGCTCAGCTGCGTATGAACATATGAAGCCCATTATGCAGATACAGTCAGATCTACACATGTCACTCAATATATTACATAAAACAGAATACATTTACCTTCTTAGCTTTAGGAAAGAACGGAAGCCACTTTTCCTTCTCGGACATCAAGCCGGGAAACACTCTGGAGTCTCTGAGTTTAATGCCCGAGTGTCTGAGATAGAGATGAACCGCAGATGCTAGCGGAGAGCTGACAGGAGGATAACGGTCAACATCATGTGACATAATACACTGATTCAATAGATTTTGCTGGCAGTATAATAAAGGTCCATACCTTCTGTCCTCCTCATGTTTTGAACTGTAAGGAAAGACAACTCATGTTAGCATGGCTGTATCTGCACAAACACGCACCTGAAGTGTTTTTGATATCACAGCGTTTTGTTCGGTGTGTGTTGCGAGGTTCCCGTGACGGACGCCTCATGCTGTGTGTACAGCTGTCATGTGACCTCTGGCTCTGTGTCTGTGGGTCATGTGACAGCCCTGCGTCGAGGTGTGTCGCGTACGAGGGACCTTTGTCACTCATGCCAGCTCGATTTCATTTCATATCTGCGTCATCTGACCGGTCGCCGTGGAAACAGACTGCTGTGTGTGGGACTCCATATAATCTGTGCTGCTGGTTTATGATATGTTTCTCTCACTGATTTAAGAGCATATTAAACAGAGATGCAAACTCAACAGAGGTAACTCAACCTTTCTTTCCCCATCAAGAAATGTTTTTAATTATAATTTTAAATATTTTAAATATCATTAAAAATGCATAAAATGTATTAAAATACAGTATAATTACAATAGTAGTACATTACTTATTATTAAGTTATATAATGTAATCCAATAAAAATGCATTACAATAATAATAATAATAATAATATTTAATTATTGATACATAAGCGATTGATATATATTATTATTACTAATGCTATTACTATAATTATACTACTGTAAAGTTGTACTATAAAATTTGAGTATTTAATAATTATTATAAATAAACTATTTTATAGTACAACAGTATAATTACAACAGTAATACATTTCTTTATTAGTAAGTTATATAATGTAACCCAATAAAAATGCTGTACTATAATAATAATAATAATAATAAATTATTATTATTATTTAATTATTAATATATAAATGATGATATTATTATTATTATTGTTGATGTTGTTATTACTATTATTATTATACTATTGTATAGTTGTACAGAGTATTCAATAATAACAATAACAATAATAATAATAATAAACTCATTTTTTCAACAGTATCAACAGTATAATTACAATAGCAATAAATTTCTTTATTATTAAGTTATATAAGGTAACCCAATAAAAATGCATTACTATAATAACAATAATAATAATAATAAATTATATTATTATTATTTAATTATTGATATATAAATGATGATGATGATGATGATCATTATTGTTTTTACTATTATTATTATACTATTGTATAGTTGTACAGAGTATTTAATAATAATAATAATAATAAACTCATTTTTATAGTACAACAGTATAATTACAATATTAATACATTTCATTATTATTAAGTTATATAATGTAACATCAAAATTAATTATATTAATTAGTAATAATAATAACAATTATTATTATTTTTATTATTAAATTCTTAATATACAAATTATTTGTATTCTTCTTCTTCTTATTATTATTATACTATTCTATAGTTGTACTATACAATTTGAGTATTTAATCATAATTATAATACCTTTAGAGAAATGTATTAATTATTATTATTACTGTTGTTGTTGTTGTTGTTGTTACCAAGTTATAAACCAATAAATAAATGTATTACTACAGTAATAGTACTATAGTACTGCTGTACTTTAAAAATATAATAACAATAATAATTATTATTATTATAGATAGAAGAAGAAGAAGAACAACAACAACAACGACAATAATAATAATAATACCAACAACTGATTAATAAGAATAATAATAATAGAGAACAACAGAAATATTAATGCTATTACTGATGATTCAAACAGAAATCAGAAGCAGATCCAGTTTTCTCATGAAATATCATGAAGACAGCCACTTCTGTCTTTAGAAAACCCTGCTCCGCTGCGTCACGCAGTGAGTGTTGAGCTCGTGTGTTTGGAGTGTGTTCCAGTGTAACTGAAGAGAAGTGGTCACTCACAGGACGTCCCACAGCGCCAGCACCTGTTTGTCCAGCAGCTGCCGCTCTTTCACCGGGTCTCCGTATAACTGCTGCAGGTCGCTCTCTCCGAACAAAGAGCCCAGCCCCATCGTCTGCTTGCTCCTGCCGTGCCACACACAACACTACATTATACACCCCACACAGCCTGTGTTACAACTAGGGATGCACAGTATTATCGGACCAATATCAGAATCGGCCGATAATGGCTTTAAATGTAAATATCGGCATCGGCCCGATATGAAAAATTATGCCGATATGTCTTGCCGATAAGAGGAGCAACTCACCTGTGCTCAGGGTGTGCTAGCGATTAGATCACGTCAGCAGTGTGGCTCATTCTTGAAGCAACGTTTTGTCTAAATGATGATTAGATTGGCTGTTTGGATGCTGCATTTAAACTGAGAATGCAGGTACAGAATGAAGCGTTCGGTGTGTGATAGAGTAACAGTAACAGCACGTGCAGCGGCAGCCTCCCCCGGGTCCTAACGCCCGCTCTGTAAGGAGTTTTAATTCTGTAGGGGGCGCTGTTGACCTACTTCTAATAAAATGAAAGCAAAATACACAAATAATATTTAGACTGTTTCTGATTAAATAAAGCAGTAATTGATGCCATAAAATCATGAGTATGTTTTGATTTAAAGGTCAGAAGCTATAGCTTACAGGAACAAAAAAAAAATCACAAACATAATTTTATATATACTTATTTATTCATTAATGTGTAATATGTTATATATATTTTTAACAAATTATGAGCTCTAAAAGATTTTCAGAATTTTTACAACTTTTTTGCTTTAGACCATTTACAAATGTTAAATATTAAAATAAAATGTTAAGGTTACTACTGCATCTTTCTGAAAAATAAATAAATAAATGCAGTGATTAATATATAGTGTATTTATAGTTATTTTCAAATCTTCAATGTACTGTAATTATAAAAGAACTTTATTATTGTTTATTTAATACTAAGTTCTTGTTAAAAACGAACCAAAATTTAAAATAATTATGTATCGTAATTATGAAAATTATCGGCATATCGGCAAAAATCCAATATCGTCTATCCCTAGTTACAACCTTTAATAACTGTGGAATAACTACGAGAAATGGCTTCAACAGCATTTCAAAAAGAGTATTTAGAAGTATTAGTTAAAGCTGCTACAATGTAACTCTTCTCAGTAAAGCTGAAGAGGCACCTGTAGTCTTGAAGCTGCTCTTGAATATCTGGAAGCACCTGCTGCTGGAGCTCAGACAGCGGCCCTCGGATGTCCTCTTGCGTGTGCAGACGACTCTCTGCAGGAAAACACACAGACACGCGCTCAATCACAGCCCCGCCACACCGCCAGCAGCTGGTCGAGCTGAGATCTGCAGCAAACCTCACCTATATCTGTCAGAAACTCCTCTCGCACTTTCACCTTCAGAGGCTGAACAGAACCACACACATTAACAGTCATGTATAAAAGTTCATTCAGAAGCGCGCTGGTGTTAAGTGTGTGTGGGTCAGATACTCACAGCATCGTGGGCCAGGAAGTGTGAGCAGATCTGAGGGGCGAGCGAACGGGCATCTTTGGGGCTCGAGCCCAGGTACGCCTCCACACACACACACACACACGAGAGAAACTCATTTGTATTCAGACAGACACACACTCTCATGGAGCAGTGTTTAATGCACCAGCACGCTGCATGTTTCGTATGAAAAGCAGGGCTGACCAGAGGGTTTGGATCCAGGAGCTGGCTGAACACGTATCTCAGGAACACCGTCATGTGAGCCGGCTGACTCTTCAGCAGCTCCATGTCCTGAAACGGCCCGTCCATCTGTCACCAAGAGTTCAAGATGTGACACATTTCCCTTTCTCAAGACAATTATTTTTTATTTATATATATATATATTTTTTAAATTTATATATTTATAAAAGTATTTTTTTCATTTATAGATTTGTTTTTTTTATAACAAAATATTTCACCAATGCTTTTATTTCAATTATTATTTTTTTTTTTTAATCATTTATTTATTTAAATTATTACATTAAATTAATTACTAGCTTTTCATCAACCCAATGTGGGAGACGCTGCTATATACAGTGAGATATGCGATAAGTGAGGCATTTAATGAACCTCTCTCACCTCACTGATGGGATACCCATCATCCTCCTCTTCTTTCTCCGGCCCAATGATCTGCGTCTTCCCTCCCTGAAGAGACACAAGACCCTCAGACTACAGGCTGAGCACAGAGCAGTGGCGTGTGCGTCTCACAGAGTCTGAGGGGTGTGTGTCGGACCCCTGCCGGCGGAGCAGAGGGCTCCTGAGGAAGGTGCAGGGGGAGGAGAAGGGACTCTCACACACCTGAACACACAGACCGGGGCGGGGAAGCATTGGGCAGATGCATGGGTCGTCTGAGTCTTAAGGTCCTTGCACACCAAGTCACACTGAAAATGCCTTTTTTTGTATTCGTCATCCCTTCCTATCAAAATGCTTGCTACGGATGTGAAAATGCAGAACATTGAACCTGGTCCGAATTTTTTTTTATGACGGATGAAAGTTTCAGGCAGTGTGTAAACGTGATTGACACAACGTGAGGTTGTATTTTTTTTTTTTAACAATGCTCTACGGACAACTTGGCAATTGAATCGCCATTGGCTAGTAATTTTTTTAGATTACTCGCCAGACTGAGATATATATATTAGTGCTGTCAAACGATTAATCGCGACTAATCACATCCAAAATAATATATACATATATATATATATATATATATATGAAAGTACACTCTTAACATCAGTCAGTCAGGCGTTATAATATATTATGATAATGAAGTATTATTTATTGATAAAACTTTAGTAATTAGAATTAAAACGAATTGGTAACTATGTATGAATGCATATTAGTCGTTTTAACTGAACTTAGGACTGGTGGTGGTGCTTTTTTTGATCATTCAGTGTTTCTGTAAAAACGATGGGAAAAGCTAACAATAATACTGCTAAGATAATAATAATACTACGAACCCGGCAGTTCTTAAAAGCTGAAGAATTCCAAAGGAACTCCGTTATTTTGACAGGAAAATACAGCAAAGAATATCGTTTACATGCAGTGCGTCAATTCTGCATGGTATATAAAACTCTCTCGCTCTGCGAGCGAGAAAAAAGCAAAGCGACGGCGAGTCGTGCGCTTCACACTAGAGTTTACGGTGCGTCAAATACAGGTGCGCTGCGCATCCATTCAGATGAACTGAGAAATATCACAGATCGCTTGACGGAGTGAGACTATGAAGCGCTCAGTCAGTGTTCGGTGAGTGAAAATATATCTGTGCTAAACTTCCGACTTCTCTTGGTATTAAGTATCATTACTATGCTGAAGCCGGAAATAAAGACTAAAAAGTAAAGGTCCTAAAATCGAGCCCTGGGGGACACAGTAGAAACTGGTCTAATATCAGACCTTAGCAACAAACTAAACTTACTAATACTTAGCCTCCAACTCTTACAATTAAATCTGAGAATTTATTAACCAGAGGCTAATATTAGACATAATTTAGTCGCCCAGAGTGAACTATGAAGCGCTCAGTCAGTGTTCGGTGAGTGAAAATATATCTGTGCTAAACTTCCGACTTCTCTTGGTATTAAGTATCATTACTATGCTGAAGCCGGAAATAAAGACTAAAAAGTAAAGGTCCTAAAATCGAGCCCTGGGGGACACAGTAGAAACTGGTCTAATATCAGACCTTAGCAACAAACTAAACTTACTAATACTTAGCCTCCAACTCACACACTGGCGAATTAAATCTGAGAATTTATTAACCAGAGGCTAATATTAGACATAATTTAGTCGCCCAGAATGAAGATTTAGTCGCATATGCGAGTAATTTACTCACAATGTAGAGGGTTGTTTAAAAGAAAGTGAAAATTTCAGACTCGGTGTGCAATGACCTTTACTCTTTTCACTTCTATTGACACACATATCGAGTCGCTTCTAAAAGCTGTAAAGCGAGTGAAACTCACCTCGACGTCTCCTTCGCTGGAGTCCATCGATAACCGACCTGCGAAAACAGAAAAATCACAACAACATAACGGCATTAATGCTGATGAATCATGTTAGATTGGTCTTCGACACACGGTTTTATTAACGAATACCGACATTCTCCAGCCGTGAGATAGTTAGCGCCAGCTTCTGTTCGAGTGCCGTCCTGAAACAGAGCAGGGATTGAAAATGAGCAAAACTGTGTGTTTTAGAAAACAACTAATCGACTAATCAACTAAGAAACCCTGATTAGGCTGGTTTCAGGTTCACGTGAAACCTGACGTGTTTCACACTGAATAATAAACAAAAAAGTGCAGCAGAAAGGAAACAAATGCAACTATTTCTACGTTTAAATCTTGTCCACATAATGAAACAGTAGTTTCTTGTTGGTCCTTTAATTTAATTACTTTTCAGCCCCGGATAATCCTAATTATTAAGTGCAAATTCACTGGAGGAAGCGTTATTATGGTCTCATATTTTGCCCAAAAGCAGTTGTTTGAATTTAAAACATCCTCATGATGGATTTATTTCTTACAAACACACAGCTTTTGCTTTCAGAAGATGTTAACTGATGGATTATTGTGATGTTTTTATCAGCTGTTTGGACTCTCAATCTGACGGCACCCATTCGCTGATGAGCAAGTGATGCAATGCTACTCATCTACGTCTTGGATGGCCTGAGCATGAGTAAGTTTTCTGCAAAGAATATATTAAGCACAAATCTCACCACATCCTGCTGGATCTTCACTCGCACTTGGCTGGCTCTTCGTTTGGCACTTTCTATTCGCTCCTGTAATGAGGCGAGGGGTTTCGAGACTGTTATCGACATGCTTTTTCTCCAAATTAACTTCATAACATCAGTCGAGTGTTTGAAATAACTTTGTGCTCAGACGTGGTTTCACACTACAGAATGAGGCAGAAATAGTATACAGTGATACATCTAATTGATTAGCGTTGCATTACAAATATACTTTATCCGTATAAAAATACCCAAGATTGTTTGAATAACACAGATAAACCATATATTGTCACAATCGTATGTTTATTGTCATCAAGTTTCCTCAGTTAAAATTTCTCTCTCTGCGTTTTATTCAGCAATAACTGGATACCTTTGTCCATATTAGGGATTTCCTGGAACGTCATGAGTGCAATTACTTCTGCGATGCATATTATTATTTTTTTTTATTTACCTTTATTTAACCAGGAAATTAAAAACTCTTGAGATTTAAAATCTCATTTACAAGAGGGTCCTGGCCAAGATATCATTAAGGTATTCTCGTAGTTGTTCTTGTAGTAAGGTATTCTATGTGGAGTTTCTGCGCAAGAGCGCCCTCCGGCGTCCAGTATGAATTAAACAGTCATTACATTACGTGTGTACTCAATAATGCTCACGACACCAGGGTAAAAATAGGAATGATAATACGTTTCTCTAAAGAAACAGGATTTTTTTTGCCTCTTAGTGGATGCGTGAGATTCTCTGAATTATCATCATTGATATCGTTATCGCAATAAATACCAGAAATTATCGTGCTATACTTTTAAGCTCATATCGCCCATCCCTACTAGACGTACAACTACTAAACTCACATTTGATCATCTTCACCACTTCCTGATGAGACATGGACGAAACCAATGAACCATTGACCTGAAAGGCAAACAGAGATGACAAATATGAGGTTAGTTATTAATTAAATTAGTATCACTTTTGTTTTAGAATGGAAAGCGTGTTGTGATCGAGAATACCTTCATGATTCGGTCTCCTTCCTGAACTCCAGCCTTGACCGCCGCTCCACCTGTGAGGACAGAGAAAGCAGGTTTGACTGTGATAGTCCTTTACTGTTTATAAGTACATTACCGTTCAAAAGCATGGCTTTTTTTTTGCTCAGCGAGACTGCATTTATTTAATCAAAACTATAGTAAACAGTGAAATATTATTACAATTTAAAATAGCTGTTTTCTATGTTAACATACTTTAAAATGTTTTTTTTTGCTGTGATCAAAGCTGAATTTTTTTAGCATCATTACTTCAGTCTTCAGTGTCACATGATCTTCAGAAATTATTCTAATTTGCTGCTCGAGAAACATTTCTGATTATTATCAATGTTGAAAACAGTTGTGCTGCCCAATATTTTTGTGGAAACTGTGATACATTTTATTTTGTGATGAATAGAAACAGCATTTATTTAAAGAAAAATCTGAGCAATTTAATGCATCCTTGCTGAATAAAAGCATTAACTTCTTTCAAAAACAGAAAAACCTGGTGCATTTGTTACCTGGCCGAACATTCTGCACTAGTTTGATTCTCTCGCCACAGACGGTGAAGCCAAACCCCAGATTGTCTCTTTGCACAACCACACATCTTTGGACTAAACCCGTCCCTATGAAAAACAAACAGAGGAATTTTCAACAAAATCACTTCATTTCTTTCTTGTCATTTGCACATGAGCTTGAGGTGCATTACCTGCGTTGTCTGAGGGGAGATCAGACAGCATCTCCCTCTGCTGGCCAGGAGAAGACCTACGCTCCGAGTCTCCTAACGTCAAACTGCTCAACCTAAGACAGACAAAAACAAGGAGATATCAAAATCAATGCGACAAGAAATGGATAACTAGGGGACCAGGGAGCTGGAGAAAATGACAGAGAACTAGAAAAAAACAAGGAAATAAGAAGTAGGGAAGGATGCATGCAACATAATTGATGCATGATGCAAAATAAAACTGAAAGTTGGTGAATTTAACGAGATTGAAGATTGAACAAAAAGTAAAAATTTTTACAACAGTGCTAGCATTAAAAAAATAGTGGTTGTGTTTTCAATGAGCAACTCAAATATTGATATCTAGCGACAAACAGCTACAAAAATTATATATTTTACACGTTTCTTAAGCTATTGTTACACAATATTTACTATAACTGAGAAAAAAAAACAATAGTAAGCAACAACAACAAAAACAAAACAAAAAAGCATGCATTATCTATAGATTTTAGCCTGGTCTGCCACTAATTATAAGACAAAAATAAAACCAGAAAACTCACCAAGCAGCAAAAGGACTAAAAGGAAGCATGAAAGAGAGAAGGAAGGCATTACAGTGAGACAGATGGGAGAAAAAGAGCGAGAAAAGTAAAGAAAGAGCAAATACTCAACATGAGACGGACTGTAAAACTGACTGAGAAAGTGAAAGACGTGCGAGTGAGTGAGTTTACAGCTCGTGTAACTCCTCCCAAATAAGCACATGGTGGAAGAGGCTTGTGTGATTGACAGCTCAAAAACATGTTTAATAAACATCATTACTCAACCGCACGACGATTAGCACCGGAAACCTGTGGTTAATGACTGACAGATGTCTTGTGCTGGGTTTGACTCATACCTGGAGTCACATGACACAAACAGGAAGTGGACGCACAGTGGACGGGAAAGAGAGAGATAAAGATCTTGAGACAGAACAAGACACACACAGACAGAAACACACGTGGACACGAATATATGAAGTGATCAGACTTCTGATGGATGATCTTCTCCAGAGCGACTCAAGCACAAACACACAGCTGTAACAGAAACTGATGCACCGAGAGCGTAAAAATAGCAACGAGGAAACTAAGGCACACTGGACGAATGGAAAAGCCTGTATTGTAAGATGCTGCATACATGCAACATGAGCAGTTTTTAATGTAAATTAGATTGTATAATTGCGACTTTGACTTCAGTTTTGTGAAACTATACAAAAAAATATCTGCATGAAACAGAAACAGCAGACGAGCTGAACGAGACGCAGATTCACTCTCTGCCAGCAGGTGGCGCTTAAAGCGTTTCCTTGGTTACCGCTGTAAACAAAGCAGAGCTGCGCTTATGAACAGCAATGATACAGTGTTTCCTTGGTTACCGCTGTAAACAAAGCAGCGCTGCACTTATGAACTTTAATATGCATTATACAGAGGCAAGATGAAAAGAAAAAATACCATCTAAACTTTTCTAAGGACAGTAAGTTCCCCTCAGACATACATTCATATAAACTCCTACATCTAAATGAATCGCGATTTGTTTAGCATCTCAACCGATTTGAATCGTCACATATTTAAATCGATTTTCAATCGGCTCGCGGTTAATCGTTACATCCCTAATTGTTAGACAGAGGACACGACGAGACACTGATCTGAACCTAATGTTACCCTTGCGAGCACATGAAAACTAGCTTGTGTATTCAATGTAAACATTCATTTTGTTTCTGTACTTTCTTCTATCAGCTAAGCGCAAGTAAAAACTACAGTAAAATCTGGAAAATAGAGTCTAGAGGTTCAATAACTGTGATAATCTCACATTTCTACTCCAATATCAGGTCTACCGATAAATCTGGTAACTTTTTATTTATTTAGTCAGTCACACTTAAACTAGCATTCTCAATAAAAGGTAAAGATCTACTTAGTGTTTAAAATCGCTGGCATGTGATACAATAGCTAGGCATGTAGGGCTGTCAAAAGTTAAAAAGACTTAAAGTCTTAAGTGTCAATTTTTCAAAATTGAGATTTATGCATCATCTGAAAGCTGAATAAATAATCTTTCCACACATGTCCAGGTCAGATTTGACCCAAAAACTAAAGAAAGAAATAAGAAAATGTATTATACTATATGTGACCCTGGACCATAAAACCAGTCATAAGGGTCAAATTTTTTGAAATGAGATTTATGCGTCATCTGGAAGCTGAATAAATAATCTTTCCATTGATGTATGGTTTGTTAGGATAGGACAATATTTGGCCGAGATACAACTACTTGAAAATCTGGAATCTGAGGGTGCAAAAAAATCTAAATATTGAGAAAATCATCTTTAAAGTTGTCCAAATGAAGTTCTTAGCAATGCATATTACTGATCAAAAATTAAGTTTTGATATATTTACGGTAGGAAGTTTACAAAATATCTTCATGGAACATGATCTTTACTTAATATCCTAATGATTTTTGGCATAAAAGAAAAATGGATAATTTGGACCCATACAATGTATTTTTGGCTAAAAATAATAAAAAGAAAAACAAATAGATAGGCTGATGGTATTTAAATATTGTATATTTTGTTGATCAATTAATAGATGACAATGGTCAGCTTTATCCCTTTTCAGAATGTTCCAGGAAATTTGATTTTGGAGCTTCGCTAAAAGAAAATAACATTTATTATATAATATATAAAATAATTTTCTTTTATTATAACTCTAATTCCCCTATTCAATATACTGATCATCTTTTTATTATACTTGGCAATTCACAAATGTTTAAATTTTTGGGTAAGAACCCACTACTGTCAATTTCTCTGGTCGATTATAATTCGTATGTTTTGTCTTTGATTGGGCATTAAAAAAAACATTCAAAAGTCAAAAATTGCTCTCAATGTTTATTTAACCTTGTATAAATAATAAGTTATTTATTTTTTTAGTATGTTTATTTATTTTACTTTCTTCCTTGTATTATTCTTGAAATATTTTGCACCTCTAGTGTTCTTGATATTGTACTTGTTATAAAAAGTATTTTGACTTTAATAAAAAAAAAAAAAACTAATAATAAAAAGCCGTGCTAACGCCGCTCAACCAATCAGATTCGAGGACCGATTGTACAAAGTAACGTTACTAATACTAGCCAAGATTAGGCATGAGTAAATAATACTACCAATAATGCATGGTGTTATTGAAACCGTGAGTGATCGCTAGGTTTCCGTCTCATACAGCAGAAATAAAACAACGATTAAAATGTCACTGTGCACGTTAAGATAAAAACAATCGGTATCGCTTTAAGAAAACAGTCTCAGCTGTCCAGTGTGTGGAGAGCCGAAGACTCATGGACAGGTCTGTGTATTTGTGCAGTGATTGTATCAGTCTGAGATCATGTCAGCAGTGTGGGGTTAGTTATATCTCCTCTCTCCACTCCTTGAGGTGAGTTTTGTCCCTTCGCCGCTTCGGGGGTCAAAGCTCGTTTTGGGGGAAACGCAGTGGTCCTCCTCACCAGCATCGTCCCATTTAATAAACAAACTCCAAATATCCGCATAAACCCAGTGAAATCACATATACACAACTAGACCCTCATGCGGGATCAATACGCCGCATGTCTGCATTATCTCTGGAGTCCAGAGCAAAGATTCCCGAGGACTGAATCATCTTCACACTTTAGGCTCGATTTAAAAACACTGACCGACTGCGGTTATTGCACGCGCGCGTTTGGTGGCCAGCGAGATGCATTTGATCCGTGGACGCTTCAACCCTCGCGTCTCTCGATGCATGGATCTTTAGAGTTGATATTGCGTCCCAAAGTGTGTGATCTGGAGGTCTTTAATCGTACTGTTATCCCAATGTAAACAGACTCGCGCTCGTCCTCTATCGGTTGGATTTCGGTACTGCACGAAAAAAAAAAAAATCACATTTACTGGAGAGACAATTTACATTTTTTTTTTCCAATTTTGGTTACAATAGTATTATTTATGTTATCATACATTTGTTTGTAAAGTATCACATTTATGTGTGAAAACAAACAAAAGCCAAAGCATCTTTTGAACACTGTATAAACAAAAATAAGGATCTGCTTTGATTCTGGGTTATTATAGATGAAAAAGGGTTCTTGAAATAAAATAAATGTGTGTATATATATATATATATATATATGTATACATTTATTTTAAATTTTTTATATATGTGACCCTGGACCACAAAACCAGTCATAAGGGTCTTTTTTTTAATGGAAAAAAAATACAAAAATACAACTATTTGAAAATCTGGCATCTGAGGGTGCGAAATAAATAAATAAATGAGACAATCGCCTTTAAAGTTGTCCAAATGAAGTTCTTAGCAATGCATATTACTAAGCAAAAATTAAGTTTTGATATATTTACAGTAGGAAATTTACAAAATATATTCATGGAACATGATCTTTACTTAATATCCTAGTGATTTTTTTTGCATAAAAGAAAAATGGATAATTTGGACCCATACAATGTAGTTTTTCACTTGTAAATTGTAATGTTACTACCTTGGCACAATACCAAACAAGGGATATATATATATAAATATTATTTATTTATTTGCTTTTTTGGTAGCACCTGTTCTGAGATGTATATAGTTGTACTAATTTTGTACATGGTTTAATTAAGTTTGTAAAATAAATAAATAAATAAATAAAAACTTGCCTGTTTGCATTTTTTCATTTAAACAGTGACATTTGTGTTCTGTGTTCGTAATTATCACAATTAAAAAATAATAACAAAATTATTCTACTTCAATCTAAAGTAACCATTCAGTAACCCGTGATTCAGAAGATACAAATAAATTAATTATTGTTGAAAAACATTTGTTCCCTGACCGGGAATCGAACCCGGGCCGCGGCGGTGAGAGCGCCGAATCCTAACCACTAGACCACCAGGGAGCGGTGTTCACACAGGCCTCGGGAGCGGTTATATGTGTACAGTGTCTGAAACAGTCTTCTGTGACTAACTTGGTCTAGAACATGTCTACAGTCTCTGGTTTACCTCATGATTTGTCAGATTTAGAGACGCTACCAGGTTTAAAATCTGTAAAAACAGATTGACAACAACGAACATTAGGCTATTAGGCTACTCTTAATACCATTCAGTTGTCCAATTTAACTTTTTCCCTCATTATTTATCATATTATTGTAATTGTTTTGCTCCATACCCTTGCTTACTAAACTAAAAATGCAGTTATAGCGAGTTAGTGAGTTCCACTCAAAAACAAAGCATGAACTGTACAAAAAATAAGATTTGGTAAGAATTACATTCTCTTTTACATTTATTTTTTCTGTTTGTAAAGATCATTTTGAGACAATGTGATAATGGAATGCTAAATTCCAGCATCTAATTTTAGCATACAAATTCCCTTCCCTAGACTGTATGGAGAGGTCAAATGGTGAGAGAAAGGCAGTAACGTTACCTAATTTGGAAGGAAATGGGCGTGGAGCACTGAAGCGAGTCCCGTTAAGGAAGAGAACATCTGGGCAGCGACACAGGAGAGGGGCTCGGTTCTCATTTGTGATAAAAACTGGAACAAAGCGGAAAAAGTCTGTACAAGGTATGTCTGTATCATTAGTTTTCCTATTTTCTTTTGGGTTAGTCTGTGTTTGCATTGGTCTTATGTTTGTATGAGCGATTTTGTATTTTTTTTTGTAGACTGCTGGGACGCTTCTGACTGAGGAATGCGCCTCATTTACATAAATACGCGTTTACATTAGATTTATATGTTGTGCGCGCATTGCGTGCGTTTTTAAACATCTGGCATCTTCTAAACGCTTATTAAGCGCATTCAAAAGTTCTAGAATTCTGTTAAATGCGAATCCAGTTCAGAGTTCGAAACGTTTGGTTTCTCCGAACCCCACGTTCACCATTGCGTTCATCTCAACCTCATCCGACCCATAAAACACAACAACCACACCCTCCACCACATCCGTTAGCTGCTAGAAAGATGGAGGAAGGACATGCTGAGGTAAAGGTTTAGCCTAGTATATAGGCTATGTAATTAAATAAAATAACAGAGGCGTAATATATAGTTTAAGTCTGCCCCAACGGCTTTAAAAAAAACCTCTAGTAGAGATGATCTTCTTGTTTGCTGGCTCCGCTTGTGTCAAATATAGGTAGTAGCTAATGTGGAGGAAGTGACCCGTAGTTGAGTCACTTCTGCTGATATGGGTGTTACCTCATAGGGTTATATGCTAGTCAAAAAGTAGCTTAAATTGGGACATAATGTGTGAATTCCCGAACTCTATATTCTAACGCTATAGCTTAGATCTTAAAGAAACAGTACACCCAAAAATGAAAAAAAAAAAACTGTCGTCATTCCAAACCCAACCCCATCTTTACTCTGCTTTAAAAAGGAGATCTTAGGCAGAATAAACCCGAACCCTACATTTAAATAGCTGTTTGCTGTATTGTGAATCAGATTTGAGAGTTATGGTAGAGGGGAAAAGCACACGATTAACTTGTACAATCCCACATAGTAATTTATAGTAAATACTATAGTGTTTTTGAACCATACTATAGTAAAGTGTATTATACTGTATATATTATAGTATTTACAACACTTCTGAATGCTACAGCATACTGTAGTATTAACTATAGTGAACTGATAAACGAATGCTACAGCATACTGTAGTATTAACTATAGTGAACTGATAAACTGTAAAAAAAAAAAAAAACTGTAGTATACTTTAGTTTTTACTACAGTAAACTGTAGTGTATTGTAGTATAATATACCCTATAGTTGTGTAGAAAACTTTAGGTAAATCAATTTGTTTATATTACTATAGTTGTTATATTACCACATCAACTACAGAATTACCACAACAAATTAATTCAAGTACTTTACTATAGTATGGTTCAAAAACACTATAGTATTTACAGAAAATTACTATAGTATTTTTTTTCATGTGGGATGAAATTTTGGTGCTTTACAGCCATGTTCCATTTGTTGTCATTCTATGTAAGAGAGCAGGTTGGATATTATGGTGTGGACTGTGCTGTTCATTGAATCGAAATGATTATTACAAATCTATAGTTAAAGTTGTCATCTTTGGTGTGAACAACACTTAATTCCTAATGTGTTCCACAGAAGAAAGTTGGATGAGTTTGAAACAGTATTGATAGAGTTTTCATTAATGTATAAACTGCTGCTTAAAAAGCGATCATGAACATTAAATCAGAGAAAAAGTGTGTTAGACACGTTTCTTGTGTTGCTTCCCTGAGCTACATTTAAAGGGATAGTTCACCAAAAATTGGTCATCATTTACTCACCTGTTTCAAGACAATTTGAATAATGTTGGTAACCAAACAGTTGCTGGTAGCCATGACTACTGTGGAAGCCAATGGCCTACCAGCAGTTATTTGGTTACCAACATTCTTCAAAATATCTTCTTTTGAAGAAAGAAATTCTACGTGTTTGGTACAACACGGGGTGAGAAAATGATGCCAAATTTTTGTTTTTGGGTGACCTGCCACTTTAAAACCAGTCTGGGGATTGAGTGCATATCTATAAAATTTTTTTGGGGATCAGTACTTAACGGTTACGCAACCAAGGCATGAATGCAATACAATGCACACTTTAGTCAATGCAGCCAATGCAGTGCAGGAAACAGACCACACAGTTCCTCCTAAAAGCGTCGAACCTCCAAAATGGGCCACATGTTCACACAAACAGGGCTGAAGTGCTTCTCTCGAGCATGTGGTCTTTGTAACACGATCAGTGATTGAAGCTTGTCAGATTTCTCCGCTAATGGCATGCTTTGTTGACTCAGATGGTCGTTATTTTTGTTTTCTTTGCGCGCAAAATGTATTCTCATAGCGTCATAAAATTTAAATTTGCCATTAACGAATAAACTGTTGCTTAAAAAGTGATCATGTGCATTAAATTAAAAGTGTGTGAAGTAGTATGAGACGTGTTTCTTGTGTTGTTTCCCTGAGCTACATTTAAGGGATAGTTCACCAAAAATGTCATCATTTACTCACCTTTACTCAAGTTGTTTCAAGACAATTTGAATAATGTTGGTAACCAAACAGTTGCTGGTCGCCATGACTTCTCAAAAAAATACCATGGAAGTCCATGGCCTACCAGCAACTGTTAACATTCTTCAAAATATCTTCTTTTAAACTACGCAGAATGTAGAAACATGTAAAATTCCTACATGTTTGATACAACACAGCGGTGAGTAAATCATGCCAAATTTCTCTTTAAAACCACTCTGGGAATGAGTGCATATCTATCTTTTTTTTTGGATCAGTACTTAACGGTTACGCAACCCATGCATGAATGCAATACAATGCACGCTTTAGTAAAGCCAGTGCAGTGCAGGAAACAGACCACACTAAAAGTGTCAAACCTCTGTAACAGGCTAAACTCTAAAAAATGCTGGGTTGTTTCAACCCAACTTTGGGTCAAATATGGACTAACCCAACCGTTGGGTTAAATTTTTACATTAAATTTTTAACCCAAATGTTGGGTTAGTCCATATTTGACCCAAAGTTGGGTTGAAACAACCCAGCATTTTTTTAGAGTGTACATATTCACACATCCAGGGCTGAAGTGCTTCTCTTGAGCATGTGGTCTTTGTAACACGATCATTGATTGGAGCATGACAAATCTCTCAGCCAATGGCATGCTTTGTTGATACAGATGGTCCATCTGCCTCTCTTTTTGTCCTTTGCAGAGTCACCAGAAGGACACACATTGCACACCATTGACGTCCATAAACTTCTCCAATCATGCCTCTGGTGGTCTTGAAGTCCTCCCGCCTCACGTGGGTGCGTTTGGCCGCTCTAGTGTTCACGTGTGTGGCGTTTAGCGTGGCGGCCCACGGAGGGGCGGTCAGCGGCGGCATGTACGATTGGAGCATCTTCTGCTGGGCTTTCAGCTTCGCCGGGACCCTGCTGGTTTTGGTGGTGGAGCTCATGGGTCTCCAGTCTCGCGCCCCTGTGTCCTGGAACAACTTCCCTATTACTTTCGCCTGCTACGCTTCGCTTCTTTGCCTGTCGGCGTCCATCATCTTCCCGCTCTACTTCCTGAAGGGCGAAACGAGGCGCGACGAGGCGCGAGACCACCGGATCGCCTCCTCGGTCTTCTCCTGCCTGGCCACCGTGGCGTATTTCGTCGAAGTGAGTCTGACGCGAGCGCAACCGGGCGAAGTCGCCGGGTACATGGCCACGGTTCCAGGCCTGCTTAAGGTTTGCGAGACCTTCGTGGCCAGCGTCATATTCGCGTTCGTCAGCAACCCCGTCTCTTACGACGGTCACCCAGCTCTGAAGTGGTGCATGGCCGTCTACTGCATCTGCTTCGTGATTTCGACGGCCATCGTGGTCATGTGCGTCGGTGAATGCACCGGGTTCCTGCCGTTCCCGTTCGCACGCTTCCTTTCCGCCTACGCCCTGCTAGCGGTCGCCATGTACCTCACCGCCACCATCATTTGGCCAATCTTCAAGTTCGACAGCCGTCATTCGGGGACCTCAAGCCGACCGGACTTCTGCCAATACAGTCACGGTTTGTGTTGGTGGGATAAACTGGTGGCCGTGGCTGTTCTCACCGCTCTCAACTTCCTGATCTACCTGGCGGATCTGGTGTATTCTGCCCGATTGGTGTTTGTCACGGCGTGAGAGAGCAAACAGTTGTCTTTTCCCTGACACTGAGGAAATCTTTGAAAGCCAAAGATTTTTTGCAGACTGTGCTTCAATGAGTTTGAGCTTTTATTCCAAGTTTCTGGAGGAGGAGGAGGAGGAAAATGTTCAGTGAATAATGGTGCGTTCAAGTCAGAAAGATTGTATTTATGAGTTTAACACACATGAACGCAACCACAAAGAGTGGGAAACAGTATTATTTTAGTCTCGTTGATATATAAACATTACATTAAAAATATTGCCTTGGCAGCTAGCTGAAATTTAATAAGTTTAAGTCGTTTTTTTTTTCTATTTAAGTTTAGTGTAAGATTTGGTTAACAATATTTTTTAAGCAGGATTTTTTTAAGCCTTGCGTTTCCGACATGGCGGACGCAACAGATGCAATATCTGTTTTGATGATAAATTTGTTGAAATAAATTCATTTATTTTTTATTTGTACACTAAAACTAGTCAAGTTGCATTAACAAAATACAATAGTATTGTTCATTTATGATATAATATGTAACAATTTAGCTTACAGCACTTGGAAATTGAATAAGCAAAAACACAAGTAATGCACATTCTTTATTCATCATTTTGTAGAAGTAGAGTTGTTTTTCATAGAAAAGGTACATCACCATCTTGCCAAGTGATTTGATTGCACCTGACATCATAATTACGATTCCCAGCTCATAAATACGAACTCCCCAGGAGGACTTGAACGTACCATTGATTGTATTTTTAATGTGATTAGTGCATTTTCTGATTGTGCCGCTGCTGCCTTATCGCGTCCACGTCGCTGTGTTGAACTACTGTACATTTTTGTGCTGTTTTATGTGACTTGAAGTGTATGCTTGTCACATGTAAGCGTTATGGAAGGTGGACGGGGCCAAAAGTATTTAAACGGAATGTGTGGAATTTTTCTGTGGAATTTGAACGTGCAACTGTTTGTCCGCATTTACATGGTAATTTTGAATGTGTTTCTTTTGCATGTGTAGACACACACATTCTGGCCATGTTATAATGTCTGATGTTTGCATACGTGCATACCAGTGTAAAAACATCATGTTCATGAAAAAACATGATGTCTGATGTTTGTATATCATCGTGGGATATATGCAAATATAGTCTCAAATACAGCAATTTCATTGGCTGTTGTGCATGTTGTAGCGTTAATGCGGACAAACAGTGCATGATGACACAATCAATTTTCGCGCGTTCCTTTTAAAGACTTTTGACCCCTTCTGCCTTCCATAAAGTGTTATCATTGACACGTTTCATCACAGTAGCATTTCAGCCAGGTCTGTTATAATAAAAGTGACCAATTCCAGAGCAAACCATTTTTATATCATTTTCTATAATTCTGTCAAATGTTTCAAGAACAAATAAAGTTTCACTGTGATATGTAAACAAGTTTGTATTCTAATTTACACTTTGTTTATTGGTTTTCATTGATATATTTGTGAAAGTATGTGTTTCAAGAAGCTAAGGCATCATTTATCAAAATTCAAAAGCTATTTATTTTCATATTATCTTGCAGCTTATGATCTTCTAGTAAAGTACATGAATATGACATGACTGTCCACAAGCTTCCATAATGAAATATCAGTAAAGGGTTTAATTGATAGAGTATTTATAATAAAGAAATTTAATTTATGTTTAATATAAAGAGATCATCAACTTTTATTCATTGACTTATAGAGAGGTGTTCATTCAGACCATAAATTATCAAGCAAAGTCACGTCATTTTGAATGTGTTTTAGAAAATATATGCTTTTTCTTTAAACACCTTTAAGCTTTATAGAAAATGGCCTAGGTGTGATTTTTTTTTTATGAACACTTCACTGAAAAAATTCAATTTTGTCATTTTTATCAATTCTTTACATACAAGGACATAACTCTAACTAACCAGACTTGTTTATCTGAATTCATAATGTCTTTACATCAAACGTCATTATTTATCAAGATATTGTGCATTTACATTTTCAGAATAATTTGATGATTTCACTTGTTTAAATTCAATTAAAAGCTTTGGTTGAGAAAAAGATGACTAATATTCTTTTGAAGGTTATGACGGTTCCGTCTTTTGAAAACTAGGTTTGTAGCTGTGTGTATTTTTAAATTTAATTGCATATTTTCTTGTGATCATCCGGAAGAAAGCTAGGCTAAATGCAGAGACGTCAGTTGGGTGTGTAATTCATAAAGAGCAGCAACATACGCTCCACCCTGCAGCCTTGTTAGTTTACAGGATCTCCAGAGAAAACCGTGATGAATGTGTGACGTAAGAAACATCAAGATGGGTCATGGGAATTATCTTTCTAAATATGATAACGTGAGATTCTGAAGTATTTTTTGAAGTAGCCTAACAATAGCAAATGTTGCCGTACTGAACATGACAATATACCTCTTTTAAGGACTTCAGGCCTTGAACTTCAATGCTAGAACACGGTAAAGCTAATGTGAATCACACTGTAAAAAAAATTCCGTAAAATTTAGGGTAAAAAACTGGCAGCTGTGGTGGCCGGAATTTTACCGTAAAAAATATGGTAGCAACGTTTTAGGTTTATTCACTGTAAATTATACGTTTTTTTTCACTTCCAAAAACGGTATACTACCGTAAAATTTGTCCAATACATGTAATGTCCAATACAGTTTTTCACCGTATATAGTAGGGGAATTTACCGTTAACCATTTAACAGGTTTTTACTGTAGCATTTTTACAGTCTTTTACCGTTAAATTCACGGTCATTTTTTACAGTGCATTTATACTTCAGCGTTTTCTATTCTGCTAATAATATTTAAGCTATATATATAGCTAATCCTTATGTGAGGATCCTGTTCGTGGACTTCAGCTCGGCCTTTAACACTATCATCCCAAACCTCCTCCTGCCCAAACTATCTCAGCTCTCCGTGCCCACCTCCGTCTGTCAGTGGATCAACAGCTTCATATATTTTTATTCCTTATTTACTTGTTCTATTTTTTTTTTATTATCTGTTTTTTGTTCTGTCACTGTCATTCTGTTACACTGTGGAAGCTTCTGTCACGAAAACAAATACCTCGTATGTGTAAACATACCTGGCAATAAAGCTCATTCTGATTCTGATTCTGATTCTAATAGAGTTTGACTTGGTTTACCGTCTGTTTATCTCTCAGGAAGACTTTCGTAGCTCTGATTCTGAAGGAATTTGCTGTGAAGATGAGATTGTGACGTGAAGTGGGAGGCGTGTGAAAGCGTATGGTCGCTCTGGTAATTCCTGTAACTCATCTGTAGTGTCTGTGACTCATTTAAGGGTGTTTCGAGCAGTGAAACTCTTCAAGCTGTTCGCTGATACACATCAAAAGGCCTTTATATTACAGTAGCTTTTTTATTAAATGATCAGATAGAGAACTAGGAACCATGACTGGATGAGATCTGAGATAAAAACATCATGAATACAACGTTATTTTGATGCATTACTGCACCTCAGTTGTAGACGGGACAAGAACATGGGAGGTAAGAAATGATACCATTAATGAAATACCTTTCCTCATGATCCGAGATGATAATTTTGACTTGAAACGATTCCAAGTGTTGCCATATTTAAGATGAAAAGCTACTAGAGTTTTTAACCTTTAGAAGTTCAGATGCTACCAATCTTAAAGGGGCAGTTCACCCCAAAATGAAAATGTTTATTATTTATTAATCCTCAATTTTGATCGAATTGTGATTGTTTCTAAAATATATGACTTTAATTCTGCTGTTGAACATAAATGTCTCAAATTGTTTTTACATACAATGAAAATCAATGTTGTCTGACCCTCATTGTTCTTCGAAATAACATTTCTTTATGTTCTGCAGAATACAATAGCTTCAATCTGATGCCTTACACCAAAAGATTACTGTTATGCATAGAAGACTTAAGTCTGTAGACCTCACAGTTTATTATGAAAACGGTAATTTATTAGCAATAGCATATTCACAAATAGTTTATGAGTGTCATGTCATTTTGACTTAAATTTGACTTTCTATGCCATAATCTTTACTTTTTTGGCATCATTTGGATTTTTATGTCTGCATTTTTACTTTTATCTCATAATTATGACTCAATGTCATATAAGCTTTTTATTAGTAATTACCATAATTATGGCCTTTTGTCATATTTGTCATATTTTAAACTTTTTATCTCATAATTCCTCTGTCATCATTACTTATTGTATCATCATTTTAACATCTCACAAGTGACTTATGTCATATTTTGACTTTTTATATTATTCAACTTCAATTTCAACTTTTTATCTATAATTTTGACCTACTGTGTCAAGTATGACTTTTTCATCATTTTACATTCATCACATAATTTAAATAATCATGACTTAGTATGTCAGTACTTTGATGGCATATTTATGACTTTTTATGTCAACATTATGACATGTCATAAGTTAATATTTTTATCTCATAATCAAAAGCATGCTTTTTCTCAAGTGGCAAAAATGGACTTCCATATTATGGCTAAATTTTCAAGAAATAATATAGATCTGTAGACCTCATAGTTTATTATTAAAACAGTAAATTCCTTTATTAACGACAGCATTTTTTTTTTTCAAATAGCTTCTGATTCTCAGCCTGAGAAAAAGATTGTACTTCTTGGGAAAACCGGAGACGGTAAGAGCAGCGTCGGGAATACGATTCTCAAACAACAAGTCTTCAAGAGCAAAGCTTCGCCTGAATCAGTCACGGCTGAATGTGTCAGCGGAGACCGGAAGGTCCACGGCAAAAAGATCAGCGTTATTGACACGCCTGGACTCTTCGACACTGGTCTGGATGAGGAGAGCATCAAATCTGAGATCATTAGGTCTGTGATCGAAAGCTCTCCGGGTCCAGACATGTTCACCATCGTCCTGAAGGTCGGGAGATACACGGGACAAGAAATTGATGTCACCAGAAGAGAAACGAGAAGAATCGAAAAAGATTGTGCACAAAAAACATCTGGTTAAGCTTGCGGGAATGACTACGGGAACACTAACCGTTGCGTTTCTGGGCATTGGTGTCGCTGTGGTTTCCATCGTCACTTTACTGAAAGCCGCCAATGTTCCCGGAGCGGTGAAAGCTGGAACCGTAGCCGGGGCCGCAGGAGCCACGGGGATAGCGGCGGGAGCAGTAGCGGTGAAGGCGGGGATCGTCACCGTTGGAGTGGCTGGTTCAGGTA